TCTAAGGTTAGATGTAAGCTTATTCCGCAGGAAAATCAGAGCCAAGTTTTCAGTTTATGCGAAAGTCAGTGCGATATTGAAAGGCAACCAAACAACGCGGAGCCGTCACCTGTGGGGTGGGAACTCTGTGGAGGCGAGAACAACCGGAATTTTTACCGCGCTTTGTTCCACTCACCTTCGCATTTTCCACGTTAGATGTTGTCTAGGTTTGTCCCCTAGGCCCCTCCCCCTTTATGCACACTCTGTCCACCCATGATTGGCTGGTTCAGCCGTCAACCCACAAAGTCTGCAAAAATGACGCAGTGAAAAATAAAAGTGTGCCTCCAAATTTGAGAAACTCGCAATTATTGCTCTGTAGCCCACTCAGCACCTCACTAAGACGTATATGGGACCCTCCAGCCCTGCCTTTAGTACACTAAGTCATGACGGTAAGGTGTCGGTGGTCTCTCGAATTTATGAACGATTTGTTTTGGATAATGGAATTATGAGGTTCATAGTTGGGTTTAAAGGCATCCATCAGCATCAAAGACTTTCCTCAGACGCTACCTGCAGGAGTTATTCTTTGCTGGACGGGAGCTAGTTATGCTTGTGTCGTCGGCAAAATTGAGGTTTGAGGGTATCCTCATCGCCATTTAGCCTCATGTTAAGCTCAAGTGACGGAACAAAAAAACAACGACATCGGATAGTTAAGTGTTCGAGAAATCCAGCCATTCTCGGCCGGACCGAGAATACGGATAAAAAAAATACGTTGTGGAGCACAGAAGGGCAATTTTGCCACAAAATAGGTTTAAAACCTTGTTCCCGACCAGGCTCAGCACAAACCAAATGTCATGGCATCAATCGTCAAGCAAGGTCATCACTCGTCATTGACCTTCATCTGACAAAATTGGCGACGCATCCAAGTTGACCCTCTGAGTCTGTAGGTCGAGAATCGTGATGTGCTTAGGGTGCCCAGAGTGTTGTTTGTTGTATAGGGGTCAATTTTCTGGAATTTTTTGCGGGGCCCAGCAACCTACCCTCCTATTGTTTCTCACCGGATTAAGCCCACTATATTGTGATTAAAAGCAATGTATGTTTTTAGTCTTTGCATAGTTTATAAAAATCTTAATTTAAGCAGTATAGTAGTCATTAAGGGAGGTGGGATCCAGGAAGCCGGCACTGGAGGCACGCGTCTCTTCTGATCTGTCCGTGAAGACGCCCCTTTAGAGGCCGCCTCATGGCGCCGATGGCGCCCTTCTATGACGTTCATGGGAAGTGGCACGCATTTTGGTTGTGGGGGACGAGGACGGGGACCATGAAGGACTTGGGTCATTTCATATTCTAGAGCTTTTCACGTTGACCTTGCAAGCCAGCGCGTGTCTTATGACACTAGGTATGTGAAATTTATTGCATTGTTTATCCGCTCAGCTGTTTCGATTTGTGTCTGGTGGCGAGAGCAACCATGGCTTTATGTTACAAGAGTAAGTACGAGACGCCACTACGCAGAAAGATCAAAAGAAGGTGGTTTTTGTCGTGGTCATCTTTTACCTACGTTTTTTTGTAGAATCCATAAAAAACAATGGGGGCCAAGCCAACATTAGGGGGCCCAACTCAACAGGGGGGGGGGGGGGGGGCAGTGCCCTCACAAAAGAATGCAAGTCGACACCCGCGGTGTGTTGCTATGAGAAGCAAATAAATGCGTTTAGTGTTAACACACAGGCATTGCTTGCGCTCAAGCCATGGACTGCTCGTTTTGGAGCGCTTTAGAGACATCTCTTTGTCAAATCTCGGAGACCACAGCAGAAAAGGCGTGAGATTGACCGTATGGTGTACGTAAATTTGCCGCCTACCGCTTACTTCTCAAACTCAGTGCTGCCATGTGCAGATATACTCTGTTTACCGACCCGGGATCATCTAATGTCCCCCTTTTTTAAACCAGTTTCGACTACAACACAGCGCGATACCTCAAGCGTTCGTGACCGGCCGCCATCGTGACGTCATCTTTTTGCCATTGCAAATGCCCGTTCTGTCCTCAGCTACACCGAGCTGGCCAAGTGCCAACGCAATGTCAGCTCGTCATGATGCGGATCAGGCTTCAACCCGTGCGGTGCAGGATTCTAGCAAATGTGAAATCTGGCGATCGGAATATAAATAAATAGAATTGGTATGATGTAATGCAATAAGCAAAAAGATGTGGCACTGACAATGCAATCTTACGGGACAATGATGTTTCATCATACCGCACAAACACCAACAACGTAAAGCGTGTGCAGCTCAACTCTCAAAGCGACCGGGTCGCCTGAGTTAAAAGCTTTCTTACTGTTGAAATAAGAATCGATCAGCTTGAGGCCACATTCTTAATATAATCAAGCTGGGTGCAGGAATTACACGGCATACCATGCGTTTCGCACGGCTCGCAAGTGTGCAATCAGTGCATCATGCCATCCATAAACACCCGATCGACTATTACACAAGGAATGCTGCTGTTTTCAGCTCTGGAGTCCAGAAGTTTACCATCCAGTAACAGCCAACGGATAAGGGCTTCTATCTCAGCCGTACCCATCATTGGTTGGTATCATCATCATCATCATGGAATTGTTGTAATGTCAGGTAAGAATGTCGTGCAAGATGAATTTCTTGTGTGTTGGCTGGAATGCACCAGTCAACAAGGTCCAGTGTCGCACTTGTTTGCAGGGCGGTCTAGCCGTACTTTTACAGTAATGAGCGGGTGTTACATCTTCCGAATTGTGGCAGTGGTCGCACACAGTTTTCCCTTATTACTTTACATGTGAACCATAGAGTAGACTAGAAACTATCCATGAATAAGCAGCGGTTGCCTGCTTGACTTTGCCTCTGCCATGCCGCGCCTGCTGTGAGTCTGCTGATTATTCCGAACACCAATATAACGAGGCGCTCTGAAAATAATCTAACTTTTTAATGAAAAAAGTCCAGCCCGGGTATTTGAGTGAGTTTTTTTAGTATTGCTCATAAAGAGTTATGCGTGTGTGGTTGTTTCTTCATGACGGAGCAAAAAGAGCAGAGCAGAGATCAACTACGCCCAAAGTCAATAAATGAGCTCAAAAGCACGCGAGTCCCCACTGCACGTCACCACCTGGCCCTCGATTCCCGTAAAACAACAGTGCGCGCCTTCCTCATGGCGCGTTTGTTTCAGTAACGTGTGATATGAGTGAATGAGCTGTGAGAAGTTGGTGGAAGGATCGCTTCGCGCTGCATTTGACTGAACAGCGGCGGATCTCGGAATATGCGGGAAAGAGGCAGCTGTCACATGTTCTGAAACGGTGAGTGTCGACGAAGGTGTGGGGACAAGAGGAGAGGAGACGGTTGACCCATGCCTTCTGAGCCTTGTCGGACCTTCTCGTGTGCACGCATATCCCTTCGATGATGTTTGATCTTAACCCACGGCAGCGCGGCGAGTGCCGCCCTTCCGCGCCGTATTCCGGACGCTGCGGGAAGCCGACAATACGCTGCGCCGAGGCGATGGTGCATTTGACCCGAGGTGATGATAGATTTATTGCGCATGTTTTGCAAAAGCACCATTTGTTCCCCCAGCTGATGTAAAATCACCGACTTATCACGTTATTATTGCGGGGAAGCAGAAGTGCTTTAACGTGATACGATAGTTTGCGCCCATAACTTGCATTAAGTGGTGCTTGTAGGCACACAATCAGGTACCACCGTTTACCATTCATTTAGCAGTGACTTTTTTAAGACGAAACGATTTCAATGACCCATGGTAACACCGTCTGATCTTAAATTGCTCTTGAATAATTCTTGCTCTGTACGTGACCCACAAAAGGTGATATACTTATGTTTTATAAATTTGGCGTATTAACTTAAAAAACTTATATGTTTTCCTTTGTGTTTTACTAACAATAAGGTTTACTTGAATTGGGGTACCCAGTTTGCCTCAAGCAATTACGCGTACATGGATTTAAGAGATAAAAGGCTAGACATGCTAGCCATGTAGCCATGTAGAGAGCCTCCTACGCATCCTTCTGGGATGCGTAGGAGGCTGGGCACTGATGTTTGCATCGGAGCTTTAGTCAAGCTAGGGACCTATTGGCGAGAGGATGCTGACCCTCCCTCGCTAATGACATGGTTGAAGAGGGCTCCCGTGTGGCTAGGATCGCATCTGGTAATTGGGGTTCAAATTGGAAAAGGCGTTTGAAAGGGCTTCATTTTCGCGCTTCTCGTGATGCTCTTGCGCCTCCTCGGCCTCCAAATGTCAATATATGCGGTAAGCTTATAGTTTGAATCGCAAAACTGTTGTGACCACTGCAACTTGCCTCCCGACTAATGATCGTCTCGTCGGGAGTGTGTGCACGTCATCAGAACGACAGTGATTCAGACCGTAAGTTTGCCTAATCGGCCGATTTGAAACTTATTCTGGATCACTGCCTGGAAGTCTGTAGGTCCAAGGCTGGGGCTGTACCGTGTGCTGACAGCACGCTGTAAGAAACATTGCTGACTTCCAACAGGAAGCGCGCGGCGGTATTGGTTCTCTGTCAAGTGTTATCAGAAGTGCCCTCCAACCACATCTCTGTTTTCGTTTGGTGCTGATGCGTACCTACAGACGCCTCAAAGAGGTAGATTACTTGCTGATTATTCCTCAAGATTACTTGCTGATAGCTCTCGCTACTTGGTTCTGCATTTGGTGTTTCGGTTATTGACACAAAATAAGTCCATGCAAGTACATTACTTCTCATTGAATGCACAAGTATGAGATCATCTTGTCACTTCACGGTTTATGTAAGCCCGCTTCACACCAATGATGCTTTGTTTTAGTGAAATCTTGCGTCGAAAAGTAATCTTGGTTCCCGCGTTGGCCGCGCGCCGATCTAGATGGCGTCTAATCAACGTCGTGTTACAGGTTGCTTGGATCCGCGCCGAATAAAGGGGCACATGAAGTTATATGGATGTGACGCGCTGCTAAAAGGACGGGAACACGGCTGTTTCCAGTCTGCACCTTCTAACCGCCACAACTGTGCTAATCTGCCCGGTACTCGGAACGTGTGAGTGGATGTCTCAGTGCCTTTGTGAATATCTCTCTAATACCCTCTCCCGGTCAGGTTATCACTACGTCGGTGTCATGTGTCATTCATTCTTTACCGGTCCGATGTGGTGTAAATGGCGAGAGAAGTTGTTTATAAACATGTGTGAATAAACATCCAATGATTGTTATACGGACTCTGCAATGACACACTCCGCTGTACGTGCGGATGTTGCAAAGAGTGAACTATCCTGAGGCCTGTCACGATGATTTAGCATGCGAAATATCGTCATCGAAAGCGTCGGGAGAGGACTGGGAAAGGCCTACTCATTCGGCCCGCCGCCATAGATCGCCGGCTTTGTCACACTCAGACAAAGCTCCAGGGTGACAGATGAGAACGGGGCAGGATGCCACTTGAATTGAGTCGGGTTCACATGGCCGCCACCGTGGCTTCAGCGACCCAGTGGCAGCAGCCTACAAAGCTACGTGCTTCGCGCAGGACAAGTCACAAAGCCACGAGGCAGTAACTGGGTGGTGGACGTATGACACGACAGAAGCTTCTACGCGCGAATTGTATAAAGCTCCTGGCTGTTAAAGGCACTCGGCTGTCCAGTTTATGCGTGTACCCTCTGCTTGGTACGGAATTTGATCAAAAAGGCTGTCAACTTCTGAAGATATTTTTATAACCGGCTTCGATACCTCTCATGCATCATTCAACCATTGTGAACCATCTTTGAGCAGAGCTGCAGGACGTTATTTGGTATTAAAAGAAAGTATAGGGCGTATCGGGTTATATGATGACAATAACGACATTTACAGAAACGTGGTTTTCAAATAATCATGAGGCACCGGTTAAGCGAATACATTAACTAGTCATCAGAATCTAATAAAGAAATAATCGACATTTTATGGTGGTAGTCATGCGTAATAAGTGCACAAGGTTGAGGCGCGTGACGAACAGCAAAGGCTCTGAACCTGTACAAGCTGCCTATGCAAAAATACCAAAATAATTCAACCAATTAGACTCCAACATCCTAACACTAGATGCGTAGTACGACACTAATGAATGCTCTTCGGTTCTATGACGGTGCCGTCTGTGGATGAGTTGTGTACGCAGGTGAATGATACTGAAAAATCAAACAGAGGTCTGTGCTAGCGTGGATAAGTGGTCAAGGCTTAAAGCAAGTGCCTAAATTTTACTTGTACCGGCGTGGTGACCGCAGTATGTCCAGCTGAAGGTTCAATTTATTTTTATTAATGCGTTAACCCGCGCCCGGCCGGGGTCTGGGACCCGCGTCCGGCCGGGGTCTGGGACGACCGCGTTCGGCGGGGGAAATTGACTTTCCCCTGCGATCTCCATCTTTAAGACGTTGCGCGAGAAAACGAAAAGAAAGTTGTAAAGATCCCATCAAACCATGAAAAATGCCCACCAAATATTTGATCTTGGGTCAAATGTGACGTCATCAGAGGTCGCCAAAGTAAAAGTCATTCTGAGAGATGCAGTTAAAACACATGTCAATACGCCAAAACCGATATTGAGGGCAAAAAGCAAGCATTAAGACCGTGGGAAGTCTACTCGTACCCTTTACGTTCCGCTTAAAGGTCAGAAAGGTCAGGTAAGGTCAACGTAGTGTTAAATCACCGTTCACATTTAGTTTCCCATTAGCCCACAAGAACGACACTTTTGTGTTTTCTTTCACAATGTGATTGTGACTGAGCTTATCTCATTAGGCGCAGCTGAGGGGCAAAATTATACCAGATCCTAAATACCATTTTAGGTTGACCTAGAGGTCAGCTGAGGGCAACCTAAGTCAATTTGATAAACCATCCAGGTGAAAAAATCAAGTGCTAGCCGGGGCTAAGTGACCAGTCCAATGTTGTTCTGTTGCCGCAAATAGTGTGCTGTACATTAACAGGTTTTCAAGATCACAGCTCTTGCATACACTTCACATGGTACATTCTTCACTTGGCAATGTACTTGTAACAAACTGAGAACAGGCACGTTGCTAAATAAAATTTTACGTCATCAGCTTCAACAACACAATACAGAGGTGGCTACGCTCGACGCACTCGTTGATCTAGCCTTTCAGTCACTGACAACAGAGGTCATTGCCATTCGATGACCCCATATGAAGTTTCATGTCCTCACGTGACCTATTATGACTTCATGATGCGTTAAAATGACGTCAGAGTATGTCTTCGGTGAACTTTTAGAATTTTGGACCCGAAATTGCCCCTTAGAAGTGCCTATTTTGAGCTCGCCATGTGTTTTGTGGCAGGCACCCATTGAGATAGATCATGACCAACGTCTTGTGCTCTGTGGTCATGTGTTGGCTGTCCATGTGAGTCAGTTCTCTTTCTTTTATATAAAAACATGAAAACTGCACAAATATGTGTACAAATCTGCGTTATGTACAAAAATGGCAAAAATTTACCACACGCCAGGTCAATGACCTCGCCTGTTTCCAAACATATTAATCCAACAACTTTAAGTGCTATCCAGTTATATTACTATAGCAAGTTTGAGCATTGACAACCGCATAAAAATGGTATGCGTGGGAGAACTTTGTATGAAGTTGACCTCTTTGACCTGATCTAAGTCATTGACCTTTGCTAATCAGAGCTTAGCACTTGCACCAAGGGAGCCAAATTGATGAATAAAGAAAAACCCAAAATTTGGTTTGTTGCAAGCGTTTCTTTTTACCTGTGCTCGAAAATTCATACGGGGAAGCCAGCTTCCCCCCTCCCCCACCTCCTCCGGCCGGGCGTGGGTTATGAGCTGAGAGGCAAGAAGTGTGAAATACATGGGAGCTCTTTTTCCCTTTATCCAGGGATATTTGCACACAGCAGAAACAAAATGTAGCATTTGACATCGATTTTAGGAATCCTGGAAATCGGTATTTACGGAGAGGGTACACACCATCAGGGGAACGCATAGACGGACACGCGGTATAGTGAAAGGGCATGTATATATATATATATATATATATATATATATATATATATATATATATGTATGTATACGGACATTGGGCATAGTGAAGCACACACCAATTTAAGGGCTTGATTTTTGGCAGCTCCTACACAATTTTAAACAAAATTATATCGTTAAACTGAAATTCTCCGGTCGGATAACGGGCTCGGGGCGCACGCAGCGAGTCCTTCTCAGGGTGAGCTCTAGTCCGGGAATTCACGCAATCCGAATGTTGTTATATATGTATGTATATATATATATATATATATATATATGTATATATACAACCATATATTCACTCGGGTCATTGACACGTTCCGACCTGACCGTCTGTGTTCGCAGCCCAGAGAAATGTACAATGTATCATGTCTTACCACATGGGGACCAGGAAGAGAGCACTGGTGCCCTTGGGAAGTGTATTTCGAGCGCTATACTCGAGATGGTCATCAGAACCTATCGGCTGAGCCGTCTGTTTTCAGCAGCCTTTGCCCTTGCATGCAGTTTGCCTCGATTTTGCCATTGATGCAGCAGGCCTCGATTCAGCTGTTAGAATGTTGGATTGTGAGAGCTTGAAGGATTAGTGATGATATTCTGTACTGGCAATGGTTACACAGTAAAGTAACACGTTTTAAGCTTCACCCGCCTCTGGTGTTTAATATTAACTTGCTTTTGGTCTCGCTCTTTCGTGACCGTACATACTGCCGTGACGCGAGCGCGTATTACATTGCATATACGGCAACGTGTACGTCTAAAACAGATTGCAATTATTATTTAACACACTCACTGAGAAGGAGCATCCCACTTTCTCGTGCTTTTCACTCGTTAGATCAGACGTGTACGATCTAATCAGTAATCCCAACTGTGGTGCTGCAGTGACACAGCCCGTATTATTATTAGTGACACAGCCCGTATTAATCAGTGACACAGCCCGTATTATTAGACGTAACTGGCCCCGATGTTTCGCTCCAGCACGTTTGTGATGCATGCCCCGAAAGGTGGGACACTCCCTTGAACCCTCGCCTGCTTAGTATACGGGAAGTCGGCCATTTTCAGCGCAAGAACACACAATGGCAAAAGGTACCTTCACTGCAGGTCAGAGATGTTGCAACTGGAAGAGCAGGGGGTGTGTGTTCACAGCTTTCTGAGAATTCCGCATCGGTCCTATCGATGTTGTCTGGAAAGAAATAGCCAAAGTTGTTTTATCGGTCTGTCAAACGTGAGAAGATTGGCATTGCTTCGATCACAGGCGTTGTTCAGTGTTTTTTTGTGATTGCCCTTCGTTATGTGTCTCAGCACGAACGAGCTAGTGAATGATTTATTTAAGCTTGTTTTTGTACTTCAGTCTTGCTACCGTCCAAGACTTGTCCAAAAGCAGTCTCAGCAGAACACTCCCGCACGCGTGCGCCACAGACATCCTCTCCGAAGCACCACCGTCCGCTGGGAGCGTGACTCAACTCCTCCGAGCGGCAACGCCGACATCAGCATGCATTGCCCGGCGCCGGTCACATGGCCGGCCATAGCGCAAAGCGGCGACACGGGCAGAGCGCAGACCGAGGCCGCCCATCCATCCAGCGCCGGAGTGGGCCACCATCACCGAGTACGGCTTCGATGGCTTGTTTAGGTGGCCGGCGAGTGGCGACTCCCGCTGGCGCGCCGCGATTGCCGAAGCCCGCCAGCGGCCGGCCGCGCGACGGCGTCGCCGGCGCACCGGGTTATAGATCAGCGGACTGCCTGGCCGCGCTCCGCAGGGACACCCCCCCCCCTTCTCCCCCCTTGCGTGTGGCTGTGGTGGGGGGGGGGGGTATGCAGCGCCGCATTCGTCTCCGTTAGCGACGGCCCAGCTGACCGGCGCACGACCTTTTTGCCAGCGGCCCCCGCCTGATGGCGGCGGCGCCGGAGCGCCGCATATGCCGCTGATGGTGCAGGAATCGATCAGCCGAAACGTGCACGCCCTGCGACCATCAGCGTTACAAACGACCTCGCGGCCGGCGGAGGGGAGCAGGAAGAGCGAGACGGGCCGGCCGCCGCACCCGCCCCGTGAATTGATACAAATCAGAGTCTGCGGGCGGCCGGATATTATGCCGCGGGTGCAGCGTCGGAGGAAATGAGGCGGGCCGCGTCCCGACGCCTCCCCCGCGGTTGGACACTCCACGAGCCGCTCTTTGAGCGTAGTACGCTAGCATTTCCGCAGATGAGGGGAGGG